TGAACCTGCCGACCGACGAGGGCTGCGCCGAAGGAATGGACGCAATCATAGAGAGTGTGACGTGGTCCTTGGAGAACTACCCAGTCATGCGCGACAGGATCCTGGAGGTGCTGCAGCAGTTCATGCCGGACCCCGAGAACGGTCCGAGGTTCGTTCCGGCTGTCGGGAGCGAGTGGGATCCGGGAGCTGACTGGACGATGGGCGAGCGTGTTGGCAATGGGCAGTGAGTGAGGAGCACCGAAGAGAGAGAAGACGAGTGCGAACGCGAACTACCCGTGAGCGCCCTGTAGGCCCCTTGAGGTCCCTAGGAGTGCTGGTGCCCTTTTCAGTTCCCGTGCCGACCCCAAAAGGGCACCGGTGCCCTTTTCAGTTCCCGTGCCGACCCCAAAAGGGCACCGGTGGCCCCTAGCAGCGTTCCGCTCCGTAGCCACTGTTCTGGTTCGATAGGCCCACCGCACGGGGAGCGCGGGCGCCCTCGGCCGCGCTTGCAGGAGGCAGAAAACATCCTCGACCCATCCATCGAGCTCGACTCTACTCGCGATCGTGGAGTTCGCAGGAGGGGTCCTAACCCCCCCCCTTCCCCGATCCGTCGTCGGGGACCCCCCCCCCCTCCCCCCCTTCACCGATCCGTCGTCGGGGACCCCCCCCCTTTCCCCCTTTCCCCGACCCGTCGTCGGGGACCCCCCCCCCCCCCTTCCTTTCAAAAAGAAGGGGGGGTCCGAACCCCCCACCCCCTCCCCCCCTTTCGACACGGCGCCCCCTGACTCCGGAACCCGACCCCCGTCACCCCTACCCCTAGTCCTCACCCTAACCCAAACCCCTAATCCTGACCCCAACCACTAACTCCAGCCCCAAAGAGTACTCACTACTCATTACTCACTACCCACTACTGACTACTCGCTATTCGCTACACTACCCCCTACTCACTACTCACGACTCACTACTCACTATCCACTACTCACTACCCACCACCCACTACTCGCTACTTACTACTCCCTACTCCCTACTCCCTCCTCCCTACTCACTACTCACTACCCACTACTCAGTACTCACTATTCATTAAACACTACTCACTACTCCCTCTCCACTACTCTCACTACTCACCAATCACTACTCATTACCCAGTACCCACTATCCACTACTCACTACTAACTACTCATTGCCCACAAATCACTATTCACTACCCACTACTCGCTACTCCCTACTCCCAACACGCTACTGACTACACAGTACGCAGTACTCACTACTCGCTACTCCCATACTCGCTACTCAATACTCACTACGCACTCCCCGCTACTCACTATTCACGACTCACTACTTACTACCCCTACTCACTAATCACTACATAGTCTCTAGTCACGAGTCTCAAGTCACTAGTCACTACTGGCCAGTCACTACTCACTACCCACTACCCACTACTCACCGATCGCTAATCACTACCCACTATTTGCTACCCACTTCTTACTACTCACTGCTCACTACTCACTACTCCCTACTCCCTACTCACTACCCACTACTCGCTACTCCCTACTCGTTACTCACTGATCACTACCCACTACTCACTACTGACTACTCTCTACTCACTACTCACTCCTCACTACGCCCTACTCGCTCCTCACTACTCACTACTCGCTACCCCCTACTCGCTACTCACTACTCACTACCCACTGCCACTACCCACTTCTCTCTATTCATCACTACTCACTACGCACTACGCGCTACGCACTACGTACTACTCAGTATGCACTCCTCACTACTCACTACTCACTACCCGCTACCCACGACTCACTACCCACTACTCACTACTCACTGCTCACTACTCACTATTCACTACTCACTACGCACTATGCACTACCCACTACTCACTACTCACTAATCACTACTCGCCACCCACTACTCACTACCCACCAATCATTACTCCCTACTCCCTATTCAGTACTCACTACTCGCCACTCGCTACTCACTACTCACTACTCGCCACTCACTACCCACACATCAGTACACACTACTCACTATTCACTACCCACTACTCCCCACTCCCTGCTCAACAAACACTACCCACTATTCACGACCCAATACTCACTATTCACTACGCACGACCTCACTACTCACTACTCACCACTCCCTACTCCCAACTCCGTACTCCCTACACGAGGGGGGGAGGGGTCCGACCCCCCCCCTCCGTTTCCAGCGCCGAGGGGGGGAGGGGGCGGGGGGGGGTCCGGACCCCCCCCCCGTCAAGGGAGGGGGGGGGGTTCGGGACCCCCCGCCCTCAAGGTGGGAAGGGGGGGGGTCAGGACCCCCTCCCCCCCTGAAGGGAGGGAGGGGGGGGGGTTCTGGACCCCCCCCTCTTTAGCGTATTCAGGGAGATCCACTGGTGCACTTTCCTAAACGAGGGAACTGGTTTCTAGCACCGCGCGAACCCATTCATGTCAACTCGGCGGCGCGCCCGACGGGGGAAAGAGAGGGGGCGGGCCTGCTCAGAAGGCTCGGGAGTCCTCTGGCCTTCTGATCAGTTTTCTGGGCCTTCCCCGAGGAGACACACAAGTAGAAGAAAAAAACATAAACAAAAACTGTTGGCGCTCCGCGCGGATCTCTTGGGTTCGCGCTGGACCCCTCCCCTGGCGCGCGGAGCGCGTCAGGGGCGGCGCCGGAGGCGACGCCGGGGGGCCCAGCCGTGGATCCAAGGAATCCGCGCGGACAGCCAAAAGTTTATGTTCATTTGGTTTTTTCCTCTTCGAACATCGGGGATGGACAGAACCCCCTTTAGGAAAATGTGGTTCAATGGAAACAACCTCGGGCCCAAACCTGGCGGGCGCCGGGCGCAAACCTGGAAAATGACGGCCGCGGCGCCCTCTCGAGAAACGAAAACGGACAACAAATCGACGTGTCAGGGGGGGTCTGTCCACCCCCGAGAATAACACTTCTCACAAGACTGGGGAGCTTCCGAGAAGCCCCGCCGCCTTCGAAGAGGGCCTCCTCCTTCTCGCCTCCCCGCCTCGCTCGCTGCCGAGCTGCACCTCAGACGCGGGACCTGGTTCCCAGTACCGCGTGGACCGAGCAATCTTAGATCCTCCTCCTGCTCCTCCTTCTCCTCGCTCCTCGCTCCTCCAGGCTCCTCCTCCTCCTCCTCCTCCTCCTCCTCCTCCTCATCCTCCTCCTCCTCCTCCTCCTCCTCCTCCTCCTCCTCCTCCTCCTCCTCCTCCTCATCATCATCATCATCATCATCATCATCATCATCATCATCATCATCATCATCATCATCATCATCATCATCATCATCATCATCATCATCATCATAATCATCCTCCCCTCCCCTCCCCCTCCCCCTCCCCCTCCCCCTCCCCCGTCCCCGTCCCCTCCACCTCCTCCTCCTCCTCCTCCTCCTCCTCCTCCTCATCATCCTCCTCCTCCTCCTCCTCCGCCGTCTCCTCCTAGCGCCAGCTCGGCCCAAGCCCCCTCCGGGCCTTGCGAGCCAGCGCCACCGGTGCCCCCCGCGCCGCCTCCCCCCCGCCCTTTCCTCCCCATGCCGCCGCCATGGTACGTGGCGCGCGCTGCTGATGGACGGCCTGCCCGGCCACGCCGGTCCGCGGCGGAGAGCCGCGCCCAGGCCGATCGGGCCCGGGCGCGCGCCGCCCAGGCACTGTTGCGGGCCTTTCGGGGCCTTCAGCACCGCGGCTGCCGCGCGACGCGGTTCGGCGCCGCCTTGGTCGCGGCGCTCCGCGACGAGTTCGCCAGGGCGCCTCGCGAAGCTGCTGTTCTCCCTGATCCAGCTCATCTTGGCGACGCCGCTCAGCTCCCCCACAAGGGCAAGGACAAGAGCCCCAGCAAGGGCAAGGACAAAAGCCTCGACAAGAGCGACAAGAAGAAGGGCACGGGAGATGGCACTCCAGCCCCTGACCCTTGGCACCATGGCGGAGGAGATCCCTGGTCTCCGGCAGCTCGTCCTGCAGCTGCTGCTTCTGCTCCTCCTCCCGATCCTGCACGCGAAGTGGCGGCGCCGGCAATTGAGTGCCGCGCTTGTGTCCGTGCGCGCCGGTTCGGCGCCCTGCATTGCAGAGGCCATGGGCCGCTGGGACGGCCGTCTTTGGGCTTTCTGGCATGTCGGTTGGGGGGGTAGCCCTGTGCCGCTTAGCGGTGCAGGGTCTCTCCTCTAATTTTCGTTGCTGGGAGGTTCAGCCTTGTCCGCTCGAAGTGTCCAATCCAATCCGCCGTCTCCTCCTCCTCCTCCTCCTCCTCCTCCTCCTCCTCGGGCGGGGCCGAGAAGAGGAGATATCCAGTCCAGAGCATTCCGGAGCGCTCTGAGGGAGCTGCATCTCAGAGATTCTCGACGTCCAGTGGGGGCCCGACCACAAGAAGTCTTCCACAAGAAACTCAACCCTGAGACCCCAAGACGTCCGTCGAATTTTGGTGCGGGAGAGTCACGCTTTCCATGGCAGAACCATCGAAACCCAAGAAACCCAGGGCACCCAGGAGGCAAGCAAGGTGTTTCTTGGCCTGGGTCTCCATTGTATCCTCACCCCGACTGATCTTGGTCCTTGGGGGAACCAACAGGCACCGATGCCGCTACTCCCAGGAACTCTCATGGTGTGCGTTCTGGCCAGAATCTCGAGGGGGATCTAGCGGTGGCGGCGAGGGCCTCCCAGAAGGCCCGAAAAGGGGGAAACGGAGGAAGGGTAGCTGTATGGATACCTTTGCCTCCTTCTCCTTCTCCTCTCCCTCCTTCTCCTTCTCCTTCTCCTCCTCCTCCTCCTCCTCCTCCTCCTCCTCATCATCATCCCCCTCCTCCTCCCCCTCCCCCTCCTCCTCCTCCTCCTCCTCCTCCTCCTCCTCCTCCTGCTCCTCCTCCTCCTCCTCCTGTCTTCCCCCCAAGGCTTTCCACAAAGACCGGGGAAGCTCATAGTCCAATCTCTTGACCACACGCTCGTCCAAGGCCTGGCCACACGGGCGCCAGCAAGAGGCAGAGGGGAGCGGTGCTTCGCCGCAGGCGCCTTCGATGCAGTGCTCGTCCATGTGTGCCATGGACCCAGTCTCTGGCTTGGGCGTCGCTTCATGGGTGGGCGATGATTCGGGGATGGACAGACCCCCCTTTAGTAAAACGTGGTTTAGAGAAAACGACCTGAGGCCCAAACCTGGCGGTCGCAAGCCTGGAAAACAACGGCCGCGGCGCCCTCTCGAGAACCGAAAACGGACGATTCAGTGATCGACGTGTCACTGTTGGGGGTTCTGCCCACCCCCGAGATAAGTGGGGAGAAGAAGTGAGGGCACACTTTCAGTCCATATCCAGTGCGTCTTGCACTCTCTTGGAAGGGACGCCACACGGCCGAGAGGCGCCCGGCATGTGGATAAACTTCGCGCCCTGGGGACAGGACGACTTTTTTTCCACATCCGGTTCGCCTCGGGGCTCTGGGGACGGGAGCCTGAACATCCACTCGCCATCGCTCGGACGTCCATTCCCTGATTTTTGTTCGGTTTCGTGCGTGGTTTTTTCGCGAAATGATAAAGGATGCTCCTCGATGGTCCTCGCCGAGGAAAAAACGCACACGTCCGAGCGATGCCAGGATCCAAGTTGCAGGGGATATGGGCACAGGTCTTGCCCGCAGAACGGTGCCCTCCTCGTGCTCCCAAAGGGCACCTTCAGGGGCCCCGGAAGGGCCGCTTTCCTGCAAACCTTGCTGCCCCCCACTTGTCGCCACCCCCGGTGACGCGACGCCCAGTCTGGCGGCTGGAGCCAGAACTCCGGGTTCTGCTTCATCTCGGGACCGTTACGGGAGTCCATGAAATAAAACGGCTCGCTGGCGTCCTTCACGGCCTTCTCCATGGCCATGACGTCCTGCTTCTTCCCCCAGCCGCGCTCCTGCTCGTCCCTCCAGGCTTTGACGAGGTCGGAGTAGAACGGCGCGTACTGCGGCGCGTCCTTGGGCAGAGGCCTATTCCTCTTGATCTTCGTCTTCTTCCTGACCCAATCACTTTCCCCGAACTTGTTATTGTTGTTAGGGGAACGAAGAATGGCACACACATAACAACTCGGAGGTCCGGAGGCGCCGCCAGGAGGCCCCAACGCCGATCCGAAAAACCCGCGCGGACCTCGAGTTGGTCTGTTTATGTCATTGTTCGTTCCCCTAGATGTTCTCGCCGCGCCCGTACTCCTGCCGAAACTTGACGCCGCTGAACTTGCGGGATATGATGGGCCACTTTCCCACAACCACTACCACAGGTAGGACGGGGGAGAAGGGAGGATGGGGAGGTCCTCCTCCTCCTCCTCCTCCTCCTCCCTCTCCTACCTATGATAGTGGTGGTGGTGGAAGATCAGCCCATCAGGATATCTCCTCGCAATTCCACGCCTTCATGGGGCAGTCCGCGCACCCATCCGAGACCACGAACGGGACGCCCGTGCTCCCGAGGCGGCCGAAGTCCTCCCTGCTCAGGTTCGAGTACCTCTGCGGCTCGGGCATCGCGCCCCTCTCGCCTGGGGGCGGGCAGCCCGAATACCGCGCGGACGCACGGACAGGAGCCGAAGGGGGCGTCCTGGGACGGACCGCTTCAGGAAGCCAATCCCAGGAGGACCTCGAGAGATCGAGTGAAAAAACTGTGCAGACCGATGGGGAGATCGCGAGGCCGGAGCCGGCTGGATTTAAGCCCGGGGTCATGCGGGATGGATTGCATAGGTTCCAGCCGGGTTGAGCAGGATTATGGCGGATTGGGCCAGTCTTCGGCCACGGATCTACCAGCGCCGATGCCGAACTCAACCTCCCAGGAATTGCATCCTGAGATTCCGCCTGCAGCGGCCCCCTCTCCGCATCCCCAGGAGAAGCAGACGGAGCTGCTGCGCTCGACCAGGATGGGTACGAAAAGTATGGGCACAATGCCAAACAACATAACCTGTCCAAAAAGAGCGAAAGCTGGCAAATGGGCAGCACAAGTTGGGACGTGAACAACGAGAGCTGCCACATGATAAAGAGCAGCTGAGAAATGGACAGGGTGAATGAACTGAAGGATAGCACATCCTGTTCCAAATGAGCTGCTGCTTGGCACTCTAACCATGTCCTGCGACCCAAGCCGCGCAGAACTGCAACTGGCGCGCTTCGCTCACAGGAGGAGGCGTCGGGAAGAGGGTCGAAGCGGAAGCCGCCCACTTTATGTACGTCAGTGCTTCTGCTGTTCTGCTCTGGGAGAGAGGCACCCATAATAATGCCAACATGTGTGCCTCAAAATGGGATGCGACTTCACAGACGCATGCTTCCTTAGCGCATGTGCTCAACGCCGGGTCAATCTTTCCAGGCAACAAGTGCAACATTCGTGTAGTACCTCTAGATCTACCGAATGCGGTAAGCTTCCACATTGCCCATCTTCTTGGGTCCACTTTCTTGGCGAAGAGAGGCATGACTGGGGGCAAATGTTCACTGGGCTCTGACAAGACCCGACACAGAATGCCCAACGTCGTTACGAAATCCCAACGTCGCGAACCAAAAACATGGACGGAACCCTCGACCTGATCATTCAGTGGCACCCCTGAGGTAAACCGGAAAAGATCACTCGCACGTCCGAGCGCGCCAAGAAAGGGAAACAGAAGGACCAAAGCAAGCGGACAAGAGAAACGCACACAAGTCGACGAACGCAAAAAGTCACGAGCGGCGAAACTTACGCGGGAGAGCTCCCGAAGAAGTCAGACCAAGACGCAGGTATCGTCCTGGGCCACGAAGGGTACGGGCACTCCCGTCTACACATAATAGGAAAAAGGGGTCCGTGGAGCCAGAAGAAGGCCGACTGAACCCTCAAGGGTAGAACGTCGGCCTGGAATCGATGATACGTCGCCGATGCATCGGCTATAGGCCGCGAGGCACCTGGAGACCCCAAGATCACCTGATCCACGTCGGACCAAGTCGGGTTTACATCGGGTTAACGTCGGATTCACAGTGGAGGCCCGACCACAAGAAACCTTCCACAAGAAACGCAACCCTGAGACACCAGGACGTCCATGGATCTTTGGCGTGGGAACGCCGCGCTCTCCACAGCAGAACCATCGGAACCCAAGAAGCCTAATTAGGGCACCCTGGAGGCAAGCAGGGTGTTTCTTGGCATGGGCCCCCACCGTGTTGCGCGCCGCGCGAGGGCTCCACGACTGTCCCCACATATTTGGACGCCCGAAATGGGCACGGAAAGGATGGGTACAATGCCCAACAACAAATGTTGCCCCGAACCAACAGCGGCCGCTGTTGGGCAGGCGGCCTTCTGTCTCGAATGGACACAGGCCGCGGCGGCGCGGACAGCAAGTCCTGTTCCAAATGAACAGGAACTGCTGTTGGGCATGGTACCCATTCTTTCCGTGCCCATCTCGTCCGTGCAGATTGAACGATTGGCCGCTTCCGAAACGTCCAATCGTTGAACATCGACTGATTCTGGATCGCCAGCGGCGTTCCATGTTTCACATTGGCGGCGGGGCCGCCGCCGTTCAACACGACGCGAAGCCACCGCACACCCATGCGGTACCCGTTCTTTCAGCACCCATCTCGCTCGTGCAGCACATACCCCCGACAGCACGAGCACCGCACGAGCTCGGGCACCCAAGCCCCAGAGCGGCGAGGGAGGGGCGATCACGGGGCCGCTGCTCGGCACCCGCCGGGCCCGCCCCCCTTCTCCCTGTCGGCGCCCCCCCGACCTCCTTGGGCCGGGCCGGCCCGCGAGTCGCGGGGGGATGGCCGATGGAGACAACGACGGCCCTCCCGCCCAGCCGGAGCCCGCTCCAAAGCTGCCCCGGGCCCAAAAAGGGACCATCCAGAGCCGTTTTACGAGGCGGACCCAGTGGCGGCGTCGAGCAAAACCTCCGGGCGATCTGAAAATGGCAAACAGCGAACACGCGCCGTGGTTTCTCGCGGGGCGTCCAAGGGGGAGGCGTCCAAGAGGAGGGTTCGCAAAGCATGGCCCGAGGCACGAGAGCAACCCAAGGGGTGGCCAAAGTACGTAGAAGAGGGGGCCATGAAATCCGCGTATACAGCATTATGGCCCCAACCACAATATCCAACCCCCTTTTCGAGGACTCACTTCAGGACGCACCCGAGCCAGAAGTCGTCTTCCTCACAGCTCCTCCTCCCTGCTACTGGTCCCTCCTCTGCGGCAGCCCAGGGACCCCCCCATCCCACGTTGTTGCCTCTTGCGATGAATCGACGCTAGTCGACGCTGAACGGGCGCTATCTCACCGAGTACCAGACGCGAATCGACGCAAGCCGACGCTAAACAAAGAACCAAGAGGTTACACAAGGCTCCCAACATCTGATACCGAATACATCCCCTTTCCTAAAGGCGCCCAGGGAGACACAAATACATAGACACCAATCCCATCATTGCATGCATGCGTTTGTTCAATATGTTATGAATTATCGTCTTCCCGTCCAATTTTGCGGAAATAAATGAATATGTGTGTCTGTCTCGTGGTCTCTCATTACTTTCCTGTGTCTCCTGCCGAACTGTTCCTGATGCTGCCCCTGGGGTCTCGACGAGCCCCGCCTGCCGAGCTCGGGTTTTTTTCAATTCAGTTCATGGCACGTTTACTCACAAGTCTCCACATGTGCTTCCTGGAGCACGTACTAAAGCACACGTCAGCGCCATTTCTGCAATCTCCTTCATGTGCGAAAACATTTAGAACGGCGCTTCACTTTTCTGCATCTGCTAATGGCGCTCCACGTGTTCCCTCCACCTCCACCTTTCATACCTTCCGGCCTCCGCGGAAGGTGCGGAAGAATGTATTGATCCTTATTGAAACCTTATGCAACGGAGAGTTAGGTCAGAAGGTCTGGAATAATGAGGGGGAGGGGAGGGTACTGTGTTTAGGTCGGGCATATCCTCCTAGAGGCGAAATTTCGAAGAAGAAATAAGAATACCGAATCACTATTCAAGAGATAATCGAACATCGTCCCCAGACTAGTTGTTTACTATCTGTTGCGTCTTCTTCCTGCAGGGGGACATGCCCGACTTCAGGCTGTGCTGCGTTTTTTCCTCCAGCCCGACACCTCCCCGACCAGAAGACCTAAGCAAGACGGAGATGCTCCGCCGTGCTCGGCCTCGGGTGGCCTTCGCTGCGTCCCCTGGCCCGACATCGGGACAGAGTGCCTGTCCCAAGGACCGTGCTGGTGCTTCTGGGGACCCGTGCTTAGAAGAAGAAGAAGAAGAAGAAAGAACGTTAGAAACACAAACTTCTGGCGCTCCGCGCGAATTTCTTGGATCTGCGCTGAAGTCCCTCCCTGGCGCGCGGAGAGCGCCTGGGGCGGCGCCGGAGGCGCCGCCAGGGGGGGGGCCCAGCGCAGATGCAGGAAATCCGCGCGGAGCGCCAAAAGTTTACGTTTATGGCGTTTTTCTTGTTCGAACACAAAAAATGAACGTCGCATAAAGCACGCTTCGCAAACACTCTCATACAGTAAGGGCTCGACCACAAGAAACCGTCCACATGAAAACCAACCCTGAGACCCCAGGAAAGCGTGGGAACGCCACGGTTTCCACAGCAAAACCATCGAAACCCAAGAAACCCAGGGCACCCTGCAGGCAAGCAGGTTGTTTCTTGGCATGGGGCCCACTGTTGAGTGTTGGGCAGGGTGCCTTCTGTCTCGAATGGACACAGGCCGAGGCGCCGCGGACAGCGAGTCCTGTTGAAAAATGAACAAGAACTGCTGTTGGGCATTGTACCCATTCTTTCCGTACCCATTTCGTTCGTGCTGATCTTCCGCCCCTCTTTCAGACAACGATGGGCCGAAGAGGCGTGCAAATGAGCACCGGCTTGAGTGGGCTTTTCCCCTTTCGGGCTTCGCCACTCCCGCCTCCCCCCCTATCAAAGCCTGTAAACTTGCCAGAACGTGAAGAAAAATGCCTCGAGGGTGAAGAATGCGCGGCGGGAGTCTACCCATAACCACTGCCGAAGACCGACCGAAACCTGACAACGAAACCGAAGCGTGCAAGGCGGAGACTTCATGAAACCAGTCGAAACGGCGTTGGGGTTCTTCGGCGCTTGCGTCTGTCCATGTTGGGCCTCCAAGGGAGACTCGTCGCCACGGCCGGATCCCCTTCGAAGAACGGGCCTGGATAGACCCCAACAGGGGCTTGGGGACCACACGCGAGCGGACAAGGAGGCCTTTGAATTTTAGGATCAGGCGAGCCTACCCTTCGGTCGGAAGAAGTAGGTAGAAACATGAAGTAGGACGGCGCTGGAAGTAGATCGGGTGTCCGCCCGCGCCCCGGAGGAGGCTGGAAGAGGCGAAGCCACTCGATCATTGAAGTAGGAGAGCGCCTATAGTTAAAGGAAAGAGAGCTGTGCACATACACCGACTCTGGCCAGGCCCATCCTGAGCCCAGGATCGGTGCATGCGCCCTCCGAGCTTGGCCAGGAAGGCATATGCACCGATCCTGGGTCAAGGATGGGCCTTGTCAGGATCGGTGCATGTGCATAGTTCTCTTCGCCCGAATAGTAGATTGGAATCTGGG